TCAAGCTACTCTAGAGCTGGACTAACTAAGTACATTAAAACAGTTTGGTGATGTAATGAAATTGTTCCTTTTACTGTAGTTATGGTACAGACTATCTTCGAATGAAATGGGATGATGTCAACTGTGGTGACAGTGATTATCTTTCTATCTTTCAGTGTTCACATTCTACTATCATAGACAGTGGTTGTGTTAACAGTGACAGTTATGATGCTACTGTATACTGCTGTAAGATATTCAACTCTTTTCTTCATAGTGTTTATAATTCATTTTTATAGATACCACTAGGATTTGGGATAGTAATCCTTTCTCTGGTATGATACGTCTTCAAGATGGAGATTATTCTAATGAAGGACGTGTTGAGGTTTATTGTAATGGACAGTGGGGGACAATATGCAGTGATGGGGTTGATAGTTATGATGCTACTACACTTTGCAAGCAACTAGGTTTTAAGAACTATGCAATTTTTTCAGCATTGTAAGCAATATATTTCCAAAGTATAGTTGTATGTCACTTTTATAGACCTAGTAACTCTAGTCAGCCTATATGGAGTGACAGTATGTACAGTACATCATATGATGTGTGTTATGGCTCAAGCAATAGCTGTCCAATGAATTCAGTCACTAACTGCTCTCATCTTAATGATCTATTTTTGAAGTGCAGTATGTTATGTAATTTTTGTACATCCATGCTTTGTTACCTGCTCTTGATAAATTATTTTATGTATTGTTATGATGTTTTTGTAGGTGACACTTCTTCATTTTCTGTTGTGACCAACACAAAAGCATCATGCTCACAAGTATTAGGTTGGTCTATTAGATTCATGTAATATGATATTAGTACTTGTATGTGATATTATTGCTGCCATTTGATTTAATCAAGAGCACATGTATTTTTGATTTTAACTAATGATAAGAACTGTATGTATACATGTACAAAATATTAACAGTCCACCAATACTTTAGATTATGTTCAATTACTCTAGATACTAGTTACATGTAGTTACTTAGACTTTTATAAAAGCTACAAGAAGTCAAACTAAAAAACTGCTGTATTATGTTTACTATTTATGATGAGAGTCCTTGTTGCTGCTTAAACTTTGGCCTTTGCTGTATGACAATGCATCTTTCTGTTGCTTTGTTGTTGCATTGTACTACCAATGATCAAACTCATCACATCCTGCCTACTATTTAAATTCAAGTTTTGTATTACAAATTCATTGATACATATGTACATGTAGGTTTGAAGTTTTAGCTTAAAACTTCAGATTAAAATAACAGACAATGAGTATCTATTATGTTCATATTAGGGTGCTATTAATTACTCATTTCCTTATTAGAATAAAGAAATTGTTATTTATTAGTTATGTATGTAATTGGTAACAAACAGATAAAATAGTAGTCATAAAAGTTCAACATTTTTCTCATCATTAAAATCACTCTATAGTAATCAAACAATTGTACACTTCAAGCCAACATTGTTATAGCACATTACCCCAATCAACTTAGTGACTTTTAATTTTAGATGGTGCGCCTGATGCTGTTAATGGAGCTATTGTTTTGTCTCGTAACAATATATCATCAACTACTTATTACTATGGAACAATTAGAGTCTATCATAATGGATGGGGGAACATTTGTGATGACTACTATTATAATTCAGCTGAAGCTAATGTCATTTGTCATCAGCTGGGATACACTGGATATTCTAGCTACTCTAGAGCTGGTCGTGTCAGGTGTGTTTGTTACTTGTAGCTATAGTTACTATTGTTTTTTAGTTATGGTACAGACTATCTTTCTATGAAATGGGATGATGTTAACTGTGTCAGTAGCAGCTATTTATCTATTGCTCAATGTTCCTACTCTACTATTATTGATTATGGTTGTGTTAACAGTAACAGTTATGATGCTACTGTATACTGCTGTAAGATATTATTACTGTTAGATTTTATTAATGAGTATTATTACAGATACCACAAGGATATGGAACAGTAGTCCATTCCCTGGTATGGTACGTCTTCAAGATGGAGATTATTCTAATGAAGGACGTGTTGAAGTTTATTGTAACGGACAGTGGGGGACAATATGCAGTGATGGGTTTGACTCTACTGATGCCAACACTCTCTGCAAGCAACTGGGATATGATGGTTATGACAAATTTAATCACACCTCAAGGTTAGTTTTATTGATTGTTTAAATTCATTTTTAAGATTCATTTTAGATTTAATAACTCAATTCAGCCTATATGGAACACCAACATGTATAGTACAGCTAGTCATAGGTGCTTTGGTTCTGGAAACTCTTGTCCATTAGCTTCAGTGACCAATTGCTCTCAGTTGAATGATGTTACACTTACATGCAGTTAGTGAATTAAGTTGTTGTTGCTTGATATAAAGTAATACTTACTTAGGAGACATCTCATCTTCTTCCAGACAAACTGTTACTCAGTCCACTTGTCCTGGACTTATTCTTAGTCAGTTAATTCCCTATGATTGTGTAATGATAATTTTATAATTCTATAATTAGGCTCTGTTTCTAATGGAGCACTTATTTTATACCGCAGCAACATACAATCACCTTCTTATTATTACGGAGTAGTGAGAGTGTATTATAATGGATGGGGTAACATATGTGATGACTACTCTTACAGTTACTCTGAAGCTAATGTCATTTGTCATCAGTTGGGATACACTGGAGTTTCAAGCTACTCTAGAGCTGGACTAACAAGGTATATTTCATTAATGATAATATTAATAATTTTTGTTTTGTAGCTATGGTACAGACTATGTTTCTATGAAATGGGATGATGTTAACTGTGTCAGTAGCAGCTATTTATCCATTGCTCAATGTGCCTACTCTACTTACATTGACAGTGGTTGTGTTAACAGTAACAGTTATGATGCTACTGTATACTGCTGTAAGATATTATTATTTTTATCTTGTTTTTCATGTATTGTCACAGATACCACTAAAATCTGGAACAGTAATCCATATGCTGGTATGGTACGTCTTCAAGGTGGATATTATTCTAATGAAGGGCGTGTTGAGGTTTATTGTAATGGACAGTGGGGAACAATATGCAGCACTGGATTTAGTACAAGTGATGCTAATACTATTTGTAGACAGCTTGGATATGACTCTGGTTTAAGAAGATATGATTCATTGTAAAAGGATCTACATGTACTTTAAATATTGTTTTAACTCAAATTTTGTATAGATATGGCAATACAAGTCAGCCAATCTGGAGTACTAACATGTATAGTACATCATATGCTACATGCTTTGGTTCCAGTAACAGTTGTCCTTCAAGCTCTATCACTAGTTGCTCTCACTCCAGTGATGTCTCAGTTACATGCAGTCAGTTGTATATGTACCTGTATAATTAATATAGAATGATTATCATTTTTAGGAGAAGCATATTCTTCTACTAGATATTCTACTACTTCGTCTACTTGTTCCGGATTAATTTCTAGTCAGTCTATTTATCATTACTGCATAGTAGCTTTAATACTTCTTGATTTTGTAGATTCAAACTCTGTATCTAATGGAGCACTCATTTTGTCTCGCAACAATGTACCATCACCTTCTTATTATTATGGAACAATTAGAGTGTATTATAATGGATGGGGTAACATATGTTACGACAACTATTATAGTTACACTGAAGCTAATGTCATTTGTCATCAGTTGGGATACACTGGAGCCTTAAGCTACTCTAGAGCTGGTCATGTCAGGTGTTTTAGTTACTTGTGGTTATATAATAGTTACTACGTTTTTTTAGTTATGGTACAGACTATTTTTCTATGAAATGGGATGATGTTAACTGTGCCAGTAGCAGCTATTTATCTATTGCTCAATGTTCTTACTCTACTTACATTGACAGTGGTTGTGTTAATAGTAACGGTTATGATGCTACTGTATACTGCTGTAAGATATTCATTACCATAGTATATCTTTTACGTATTGCTATAGATACCACTAGGATATGGAACAGTAGTCCATATGCTGGTATGATACGTCTTCAAGGTGGATATTATTCTAATGAAGGACTTGTCGAAGTGTATTGTAATGGACAGTGGGGGACAATATGTAGCACTGGATTTAGTACAAGTGATGCTAATACTATTTGTAGGCAGCTTGGATATGACTCTGGTTCAAGGAGATATGATTCATTGTAATATTATCTACTTTAAATAATGTCTAAAACTCAATTCTTGTAGATATGGCAATACAAGTCAGCCAATCTGGAGTACTAACATGTACAGTACATCATATGCTACATGCTTTGGTTCCAGTAACAGTTGTCCTTCAAGCTCTATCACTAGTTGCTCTCACTCCAGTGATGTCTCAGTCACATGCAGTTAGTTGTATATGTACATGTATACATGTATAATTAATTTGGTTATTATTTTGTAGGTGAAATTTATTCTACTACTAGATATACTACTACTTTATCTACTTGTTCTGGATTAATATGTAAGTTGTTTTATTAATCAAATGAAACTACTTACTAACTTTAACCTAGCTAATGCTGGTTCTGCAGCCGCTGGTACAATAGTTCTTTATCGTAATGGGGTTTCTTCATCTTCATACTATTACGGCATTGTGCAACTTTATTATAATAGTATATGGGGTAACATTTGTGATGACAATTATTACAGTTCCTCAGAAGCTGATGTCATTTGTCATCAGTTGGGATACACTGGAGCTTCAAGCTACTCTAGAGCTGGAAGAACAAGTTATGGGACTGATACTAATCAAATGATAATTGATGATGTGAAGTGTGCTAATAGCAACTATTTAACTTTATCACAATGCTCCTTTTCTACATACATTGATAGTGGGTGCACTAACACCAATTCCTATGATGCTACAGTCTACTGCTGTAAGAAATAATTGAATTATCAAAATTAAATTTTTTAAATAGATACTAGTAGAATTTGGAGCAGCCCATACACTGGTATGCTACGTCTTCAAGGAGGAAATTACTCCAATCAAGGACGAGTAGAAGTATATTGTAATGGACAGTGGGGAACAATATGTGATGATGGGTTCAGTTCAACTGATGCTAGAACTGTCTGCAAACAGTTAGGATACAGTAGCTATTACAGATATGACCATTTGTCTCTGTGAGTTGCTATCACAATTATACTAATAATTATCTTATTAACTGATAGGCCTGATAATTACAGTAAACCAATATGGTCTGCTCATTTTTCAAGCACTGCATCAAGTACTTGCTTCAATTCAAGGAATTCTTGTCCCATTTCCAGTATTACATCATGTACACATTCAGAAGATGTCACTGTAGCTTGCTGTAAGTCCATTTTTACTCTTTTGATTTAGTTTATTTTTCATAATGATAGCATATTCTTCATCATCAACGAGTGTATCAACTGTAGGATACTGCAACAGCAATATTACAACTACTAGATCTAATCAGGGTACTTCAGGTATTTTCTAGATTTATGGCTGACATGTAAATCACTATGCATATTTCTATTTTTGTAGTTATTGGAGGAGCTATTGGTGGTACATTTGGTGTCATTATTTTAATTATATTAATAGCAGTGATTTTTGCTGTTTTCTATACTTATGCTAAGAAACGACACTCCAGAAGAATGACACCAGACAGGTCCACAGTTCTAAGAAATGTTGCAACTAACGACGAATCAAATATTCAATTAAATACTATACCTTCAAAAACACAAGAATGGCAGGAACCACCTCAATACGTTGCATCACCCACTAATGTCTTGAATCATCCTCCACCACCATCATTTCCTCCTAATGCTACTTCTCATGGAGGATATTATGTTTATGTTCCACAAAGCATGGCATTACCTCCATCAGCTCAATTTTATCCATACCCTGTTGCCACTTTGCAACAAACTCCCAGAGATCCTGATGAAGGAGAGAAATCAGAAGCAAATGCTGATCCCATTCGTGAGGCAGAGCCCCCTCAATATGATGCAATTTATGAAAATACTGATTTGTAACAGTATTTGATATAATATAAGAGCATTTACTAAACATTTGTATTTTGTGTGTTTAATTTCACTTTTATATGACTTGCTGTTTCTATTTTAGAATTTTTGCTTTTTTCAGTTTAATTTTTTTGCATAAGTAGTGTAATGCTGCACAAAGTACTAATATGGTTAAAAAATAATTTTATGCTATTATTATTATTGGCTTAATTGATTTCTTTTTTCTCTTTTAAAATTAATTTTTGCTATATACTGATATTACAGGGGAACAGGAACCATTTTTCAATTGATGGGGCAAGACAGATTGTGTGTATGCATGTATATGTATGGGAAGGGGGTCTGGGGGTACCCCCCAATAAAATTTTTTCAAAAAGGGCTGCTCAAAGAGCAATTTTAACATGTTTTGGAACTACAATTACAATGTCATAATTATTATCATGACAGCAAAAAGGAGGGTGACTTGTCACCCCTTCACCCCTCTAGGTACAGGCCTGTAATAAATCAAATCATTGGCTGATATTGAGGGAGCAATGCCCCCTCTAAAATAATATTGGGGGGGGGGGCAACTTGCCCCTCCTGTTCCTACTCCCCTGTATTATGTGCTTACTGAACCTTATAAGAAAGGTTCTTAAAAACTTGATAATGTTCTTGTTGGATTCAATGGTTCATAATGATATTTTCAATTTTTTAGTTACCATTAATTTGTCATAACAATTACATATTTGTAAATGTTCATTTATTTTCACAGCTAGGTAGCTCTATATTGTGATTTTCCTTAAACTTGCATGATAAACAAGCTAAAATTTAAATTTGCTCATGCTTTGTTGTGGTCAAAAATTTAATAGAATTAATGGTAAGGTCTTAATACTTTCAATATAGTCTGGCTATATGAGACATACTTTATACCATGTTCAATTAAACTAATACAAATAACAGTGTTTCATTATAGTAATATAAAATAGATCTTGTATAATATCACAGAACAAAAAATAATTTTTATTATTTAATAAATGGGAATTCACACCACATTCATAATTTCTGTCACTATCTACTTGATGTCTAACATAATCAGTAAGATTTACATCTAGTCTTATTTTCTGAAGCAAAAGCAGCATTCTTTTACAACAGAATCAAATGACAATAATAAATAATACCTGGACACTGCAAAAAAACAAAAGAGATTCTGTAATAATTCTGTCTAGTCTAAAAGAATAGAATTAGTAATTATTGATTAACGTTTTTTACAATTTTGAAGTGATTTCTCACATGGACTACATTCATTCAAAGCACACAGACTTCGAGACTCACTTGTTATATACTTTTCAGTGACTTAATCATACATTACCAATACAGCTGTTTTCTAAAAGACAAAAATTAGTGGTAAAACAGACAAGTACATGTAAATTTAATAACACAGATTTTGTTGTTTAAAAATTATTCTATAGTGAGTATTTTAAAGGTAAAATTTTATAAATATTTTAGTCATTGAAAAATTTCAATTTTGAAGATCTGTTGCCAATAGTCAAAATACATAGTATACATAAAGCCAGGGTTTTCCACAAAGCATGCTAAGTGAGCTAAAAAGCATTCTTCATGAGCTGACAGCCTGAAAAGCACTACAATAATACATGTACATGAGCATAGCTTCTGAAGGAACAACTTTAAAAATTTAAGAAATCCAATTTTGATTGGACCAGCTCAAACTTGCCATATATGAAACTTGCTGCACAACTAGGTTTTCTACACAACATATATACAAGCATGTATCAGGAAAATTTATTAAAATGGAGAAATCTGTCCTTGTCATTTTTGGCGAAATTTGGGCAAAAAACAAGGACATTAGTCTAATTTTTGAGTAACTTTAAAAATTGATATAATTTTAATTTTTTATTAGAATCAGCTCAAAATTTTAATTTCCATACAGCTAGCACAAGTATTTCCATTAGTGTTTACTATTATTATTATTATTGTGTGACTATCTCATTATTCATTTCATTAATTATTCATTTTTGTGAGCATGCGCAGTATTCAATTGAGTCTGCCATTTTATGAAAGCGAATATTTGTTGTGAGTCTTGTACTCTTGTTGAATCTGCTCCAGTCCTGATGTTTTGTGTGCTCCATCTCCTAAAAAGAACCAACCAAACAATCAATAATTAGAAAAAAATTATTATAAAAATTTAAAAAATTTCCTAGCAACCCTGTACATATAAAGAACTACACAAAAAAATGTGGGAAACCCTAATAAAACCACCTAATCCACATAATTAGAACATAAAAAATTAAAAAAAACAAGATTGAGTAGGATTCCAAACGACCAACCAAAATACGAAATGAAAATCCTACTCTCATGATGCAAATTCTACTCTACATTGTACTTTTAATGTTATTATTTAAAAGTTATTGATCACCTTACAATGTAAAGTAGAATTTGTGTCACGAGAGTAGGATTTTCATATCGTATTTTGGTTGGTCGTTTGGAATCCTACTCAATCTTGTTTTTTTTAATTTTTTATGTTCTTGTTTGTGTTGATTTTTTTATAATATTTATAATATTTTTTCAGTTACAATTGTGATACTTTTTGATTTTACATAAACAATAAGTTTCTTTATTATTGTTGTCATTGTTATGATTTTACAGCATTTATGATTGAGGGACAGCACTGATTGAATTGAATAGATATGGTGAAGGAATATCTACTATACTGATGACAAGTGAAATGAATATTATATAGTCTTGATGTGAATCCTTGTTCAAGAAGCTCTATCTTCCCAGCAATCCTGTAGCTATTCCTGCATGTTCTTCCTGTTGTCAAGTTCATATTATCACTAGTATTATAAACATTAATTAATTGTTTTGTGTTTTTGAAATTAAATAATTCATTACACACTTGATATATGCAAGATTAATGCCTTCTCTTAGCTGGAAACCTCCACTAAGTATTGCAATTTGATTCCAAGTATAGCTAGCCTATACATGTAGCAGCTAGGTAAAATACTTGCTGTTCCCAGTTCTGAGATCTGAGCTGCGCGACCACGCCCAAATTTTAGAGCACATGCTTCTATACTTAACAAAATGGCGGCATGAGGTAAGCTGATGCGATGCAACAGTCACAGTATCACTTCTTCCTTTCTTGGAGAATGATTCTTATGGAGCGCCAAAGTGGACAAAAAATAAATCGATATACCTATAGAAAGGTGGTGTGGCGATGCGCGAAGCGCATCGCCTCATTAATGCATTGATTTCGTGATCGATTTTTTGATCGATTTTGCATTTACAGTGATGGATTTTCTAGGACTTCTTGTCATCACGTGATGTCAGCCCGCCTATAGTATGTAGGCGTGTCAGCTTTAGAGACAAGATGGATGAAGTTAATAAGCAAGTTAATCCAGTTTAAAGAGGTTTTACGGTTAGTTTCTATTGTAATTGTACCGTAGTAATAGCCATAATGTAACTCCTTAGTTATGTAGGAGATCTGAAATACTCATGTTGAGGTTATTCATGCCGTTGCACTACACACCAATGTTGAGACAGTCAAACTGAGATATTCTTGAGTGTGTTAGCTCCATACATGTGACTGTTGTTGGTGGAGTATAGAAACCAAGCTCTGCTTCGTTCCCAGTAAGAAATGTGTGTATTATTACAATTTCTGGTCATAGTTCCTCATATCGTGTTATTATTTAGTTATAGGAGGGGAAAGAAATAAAGTAAAAAGAGAATGACATCAGTAGCCCTCCAGGAATGGCCCAGAGAGACCCGCTAAAGGAAAGGACTGGTGTCAGTATACAAATATTGGTGACTCTTTTAAGATTAAAAATGATGTTTCGATGCCTGATACAGGATTGTGGACTGACATTAAATTATCCTAAATCATTATGATTATGATGCAATTAATAATTATTGATATCTTTTTAAACAGTGTTGATGAAGTGGAAACATTTTAGTAACTATTAGATAGCCCAATAGCTACTATGGTCTTTTATATAGTTGCATATATATAATCATAATGGAACTTACAACTTAAATTATAGTTTTGCTTGAAAAATAATAAGAATAACATGTCCAAAGCACATGACTGTTAAATGAAATGTTTAGCTAGCTGTGATGCAAAGCAATGTGTTCTGAAACAATTTCAACTGAAAAGTGAAAATGATGGAGATATTGAACAGTACCTTAAAATTTCTCATGATCCACTATGTATAGCTAACAGGTAATGTTTAAGCAAAAATGACACTTAATTGCAAGTGGACTTAAGAATTGATTGGTCAATTTGTTTTCATTTTGAGCTTTCAAAGCCAATAAAAGCATAACTAAACTATGGCCAAAGTTAGGGGAACATACTATTCTTTTATGTCCACTTGCAATTTACTTTCATTTATACTTAAACATTACCTGTCAGCTATACAAGGTAGTCTATGATGAAATTGTTGAATTATGCATGATGTAGAAACCCAGAGTTTAGCCTGCTGAAAATACCCAGCAATGCTCTGCCTGAGTGGGCGTTGAGGTTTTGTGAGGGCTTTTGGTTCTTTAATTTTTATTGGCTTTTTTCAATTTTCTTTTGGCTTATGAGCTCAAAGAAAAGGTACAAAAGGTTGGTAAGCCAAAAGAAAATTGAAATAGGCCAAAGAAAATTAAACAATCAAAAGCCTTCACCAAGCCCTTAACGCCCACTCTATCTTCCAGGCTAAAACTTAGGTTTTCTAGATCAAAATTTGCCAATTTTACGACAAACCACCCTGTATAGCTATTAAGTATTGTTTAAGCCAAAATTTAAGTTAATTGCAAGTAAACAGAAAATTAGAACATTTGTCTTAACTTTGGCCTTTCAAGCTCAGTAAGTTAAGTTATGCTTTTACTGGCCTTGAAAGCCAAAAATGAGGTTGAATTGATCAATTTTTATGTCTGCTTGCAATTAACTTTCACTCTTGCTTAAACAATACCTGTTAGCTGTACAAAGTGGTTTAAGACAAAAATGGGGAATTTTGATGTAGAAAACCTAAGCCGTGCTAGCCTTGAAAATAACCAGCCCTGCCCAGCCGGAGTGGGCGTTAAAGCTTGGTAAGGATGCCTTTAGCTCTGAATCTCATTCATTCTAAATAATTTTTTTCATTAATTTTTTACATTATATTTTTTACACCTATACCAAGCATGTAAGTAATTAAAACAGTAAAAGCATGGTTTTTTCCCCAGTTAAAAATTAAAAGTAAGGTTTCTGTTTTTTTGTCAAAAGGCTAGTTTTATGATAATACAAAGCTTTGTGTGGTAAAATTTGTCAATTTTGATCAAAAAGATGAATTTTAGCTGCTCAGTCAAAACTCAACTCCATCCCATTGAGTGGGTGTTTGGCGGAGCTTAGTTAGAGCTGAGTTGTTACCAAAAGCAATAGTCAAGAAAATTCTAAAGTAGGTGATTTGCTTTTCAAGTCCTGTAAACCAATAAAGAGTTACAACCGATCGGTTACAACTTCCATCTCTGGTGGAACAACAGGAGTCCATACTGAACATAAGAGGGTGCCTTCTTAGGCAGGCCTAGCCTACTAGGCGTGGCTTTTTGGATGATAATGGCTGTTGCTGTCAATGAACAAGAAAACCCAAGAGAGAATCTAATTAACGAAATGGAAGAGCTTGTAGAGGATTTAAAAGAACATTTCACGAATGCACCGTTCAATGTAAAGTTAGTGTACTTCAATGACTGTGAAGATATGCTTTCTAACTGCATTCTACTGGAAAGAGATATGGTGGGTACTAGTCATGAAGAGGCAATGGGTGATATGGTTTCATCTGTAAGAGACTTAGTTGCTATGCTGGAGAATCGTATAATTCAAGAGTGTCGTATAAGGACGCGTAGGCGTCCTAGAATAGACATATCTAGTGCACAGTTACAATTTCTTACAAGGCATGATTTCATTCTATCTGATATGGCTCGTTTATTGCAGTGTTCTGTTTGTACTGTACAGAGACGTTTGGCAGAGATTGGGGTAACTAGAAGTAGAAGATACAGTACTCTTTCGGATGCCGAAATAGATGAGCAAGTGGCTGCAATTCAAAGAATGCACCCTGATAGTGGTTGCCGAATCACTGAAGGAATATTTCGTTCTTCTGGCCAAATTATTCAAAGGAGAAGAATTAGAGGGGCACTTCACCGAGTTGATCCGTTGGGATCACAGAGAAGATTAACCAGAGCGTTACATAGGAGAGTTTATAGTGTACCGTCTCCCAATGCTCTGTGGCACATGGACAGCAACCACAAGCTAATACGTTGGCGTTTTGTGATTCATGGTTTAATTGATGGATTCAGTCGAATGATATTACATTTACATGTATCTAATAATAACAAGGCAGACACAGTCCTTCGATGTTTTCAGCAGTCTGTTGAAAGATATGGATTGCCAAGCAGGGTGAGGAGTGATATGGGTGGAGAAAACACTCTTGTTGCTCAATTTATGCTTCACCACCCATTGCGTGGACCTGGCTGTATGTTAACGGGACGTAGTGTTCATAACCAAAGAATCGAGAGATTATGGAGGGATGTATTCACTGAATGCACCAGTTACTACTATTCTCTTTTTTATGCACTTGAAGATAGCGGTCTTCTTGACCAGTCTAGTGAAGCTGATATTTTTGCATTACAATTTGTATTTATGGAAGATATTCAGCAACAGTTAACCCAGTTTAAAGATGGCTGGAATCATCACAAGATGAGGACCAGCCACAATCGTACTCCAATGCAGCAATGGATCATGGGACTTCAACATCATTCCCTATCTAATCCAAATGATAATGCAGTTAATGGATTACTAGTTGACAATGATTATGGCATTGATTGGGAGGGTCCTGTCTGTACTGATGGAGACCACACTATTGCAGTTCCAGAGTTTATTGAGGAACTTCAAAATCCTTTAGTTACAGAGACTTTAAAAGATCAATTGCAGAGTGTGAGTGATGACAAAGTCATTCGCTACATTTTAGCTAGAGACATAACAAATTTTTTAGTACGCAATTATTAGTCCATCATGATAATAATAAGATGATTGTGTGATGAAAGATTGTTTAGAAAAAATTAAATCTTAATTATCAATATAAGTGATAGATGATAGAGTTAAGTTATAAATGAGAGTAAGTGGCAACTTAAATGTTAGTATTCCAGTAACCCATGTGACATTGCTAAACTACATGAAAGCCACCATGTCCTTTGAAAGACCATTTCATTGAAGAGCAAAAACTAGAATACTCGTTATGACAGGTAGGCAGCTTGAGTTCCAATGTACAGGTTGAAGCTAAAGCCATAGTGCGACTTGCATCATGTAGGAATGTTACCTCCGGTGTGCGGGAAAAACCAAGAGGAGGCTCTCTATCACTGCCAGTGAGAAATATTAATACATCATCTAAAGTCACATCAATTGATCCTTCTGTATAAAGTAAAGTAACAAAAATAATTAATACTGAAATATAATTCCTTACCTTCACATTCATCCAAAAAATCAACGAAATGCATGTAAGTTGCTTCCTCCTTCTGGCGAAGCAAAGATTCCTTGTCCGAAAACTTGACTTTAATCAATCCTTTAACGTATTCTGAAGAAATAAGAAAATATAAAATAATGTTAGATTCAAAAAATCTCACTAACCTGCCGTCAGCTTTTCATTCTCCTTCACAAACAATGTCTTCATAATTGCAGGAAATTTAACCATGTACGAGTGAATATTGAGACTTTCAAGACCCTTCACAAATTGGTCTATTTGTGCCTTCACTTTGATCAAAGTATGGTAAGTAGAAATAACATTAGTAAGCTCTTCCTTGTTGTGAAGAGTCAGCGAAGAAATTGGCTTCTTGTATCCAGTCTCAAACAAGGCATTAGCATAAGTATCATCATCAAATATTGACTTTAGTTCCTCAACTGTCTCAGCAGAGCAAATCTATAAAATATTTATGCTAAAAATAAGTACTAGTTCATTATTTTTACCATCAAAACAAGTGAGCTGACTCTGGGTTCAGGTATGTCTTGTACCGGAATATTAGTACATGTACATGTTCCTGTGACCATGTATTCATATATTGAAGGTGCTAACATTGGAAAGCCAAAACCATCCTGTACCACTGACATGGCTATCCATTCTCCAAGTCTTTCATAAACTTCATCCTATATACATGCATGTAAATGCATCTGGCATTATAATCACTGTAAGCTCAGATCAACATGCATAATTACAGTTATCACAAGGTAAACACACATACCTGCAGAGCCTGTACATTTGGTTGAAAGGTCTTGCAAGAAGCTTCTCCTATAAAATATTCTTGAGCTGCTGATGACACAAATAACCTCCAAAATTCCCTGCGTAGTCCCCCAATATCTTCTCCAGCTTCACCAACAAAAGTTACCTAAAATTATAAAGATTCTTAAATTAACAAAACTAGTTTGTGTACTTTTAACTGATTCTTTGGGTCAAATTTAGGCTTAGTAGAATGCTTCAGAGCATCTGTAAGGATAAAATCTCTCCGAAATTCCAAATAAAGATGTGGTGCAGTCAATGTTTTATTGATAGACTGCAACTGTTTAATACAGCTTTTGAGGTCTGTTACTTCCTCCTTTTCTTTAGAACGTCCAGAATTGCTTAATATAAAATACAAATACAATTTTGCATCATAGTTATAATAACATACTTTAAAAACGTCACTGGTGGTAAATCTGGACTACTACTCGCATCAGAAACATGACTATTATTAGAGAAAGAGAGAGCAATTACATGTAGGTTTGTTGGTTTCAGTAGTGGGTTATATGGGAATAATTGTACATGAATCATAATCTGTGTTACCTTTCAAAATTGTGAGGAATAGGGCTGTAAGGTGGAGCAATAGGGGCATAAACATCATAAGATAGAGGAATAGGACTGTAATCAAGATTGTCACTTAAAAAATTAGGACTGTAACTGGGATTGTCCTTAGGTGTATCCTCACCAGACGATAGGTGTATAACTTCTCTTGTTCTAAAAAATTTTAAAGGGAAAACTAACTTGGCATATTGTGCTTGAAATTAAACTTAGCATGCACACAGTGGTTCAAAATGGTAGTTTAATTTAGGCAAAATAGCTATAACTACTAGCAATGCGACTATATTTTCAAACGTAAGTATTAGGAGCATAATTACCCTTCTTCTTGACACTTAATACTCGCTTCCTCGTCAAACTCATCCAAATCATTCTTTCCACTAAAGCAAACAAACATAAGTTGATTAATGTTCCTGTGCACTTACGATTTACTTCTACAAATCTCAATATGACGTAACAAATCATCAAGTGGCAGATCAATACCACAAATCAAACATTTTTCTTTTACCTAGACCATCAATAATTACAATATAACAATGATTACCAAAAATTAAAGTAATCACTCTGTAACTATTACAATAAACACTACAATTATCACATCTCTGCCATATACTAACTTCAATATGTTGCTCTTGAGTCAGCTCGAGGTCTTTCTGTAATGGGCGAATGTATGTTCAAGCACTACCACACTTCTGTAAGGCCCTTGGAGTAGAGAGGACTGACGAAGACAGTGGCATCAAATCACGTGAGTTTGCCTTACACTTGCACAGCTGGTAACCACCACCATTTACCAGCTTCGGAAACTTATCTAACAGAGCCTTCTTAAACGTTACTGCATCACAATCTACATCTTGAAAGACTATTTTCTGCTCCCCAAGACCAGCACTTGTAAGCTCACTCTTTTGCCAAGCAGTTGTTGGAATGGATGTTTGGTCATGATAGGCCAAGCAAACAAAGTGATGAGTCCAAGGCTTCTTCTTATCAGTATCTCGAGCCGACTTAAACTGAGGGAACAGTTTTACCATTTCTTCTCTTTCAGCACACAATCTCTTCTTCCCTTTCCCTTTACCAACTTGCAGCCCAGACCTCACACGATTTATATTGCTTAAGACAGTATTGGCTCTAGCCTGCAGAGAAATGCCTACATAAAATAAATAATAATAATATATAGTTATAACTTTTATCATTTAATAATGAACTTCACAATACACATAGATTTGACACCAAAATAAAACACATGAAGTAGACAGTACTCTAGCTAAAGCTGTGATATACACAGAAACCCCAAAGATGACAAAACGAGAGGCTGTACTTTCAAGATTCGTAAATGAGGAACTGCTCTGATCTGCTTCAGACGAGGAACTGCTCTGATTTGCTTGAGATGGACCAGGTAACTTATCCTGCAAGCTGGATAAAAACTCAATGGCTTTTCTTGCTTTGTCCACCTCATCACTAGAGATATCGTTGCTGCTGCTGCTGCTCGCCATTATTTGGTGGGAGTGTCAAGGCGTGGTCATGACACGTGGACATCGATATCATAATCATATCTTGCATGTCACAATGATAATCTAATGCAAAATCGATCAAAAAATCGATCACGAAATCAATGCATTAATGAGGCGATGCGCTTCGCGCATCGCCACACCACCTTCATATTATGGAAGGCCAAATGCGACAAAAATATGTGTAGCTGCCGGAGTATAGATTAACTTATCTCGATCAAGAAATCGATTCCAGCTTTGTAGTATCTATGATTCCAGCAACGATTTTGGGGGAGTGGCCAAATGATTTTACGCCACATGAGCATCACGTGCGCGCAATAGCTTAAGTTATCCCCGCCCCTATTGCTCCGCCCACCATTGTTCTTGACTTTAAATGACTTATTGTTTCTCTCCAGCTGTCGATTCTTCTTTCTAATTAATTCTATGGATTCTGATACTATTCAAGACATAGATGGCACAATTTTTGATCTACTAAGAACAGCAGTTGAGGAAGTTATGAGTCACTATTCGGTGAATCCTGAAAACTTAGACAGGTCCAGAAACCTAATAGATTTAGTACAGGAGCTTTTGGAACTTTATGGCTTCATTATTGGTGTCGAAGGTCAGGAAAATGATGTATTTGTAGCTGTTAGAGACCTTGTTACTGCTTTGATGACTGATGTAGAGCACAGATGCATGAAGAGAAGGAGAGGAAGGCCAGAAATATCAATTGAAGAGGACCAATTGCGTTTTTTAATCGAACAAGGATTCACAGTTCAA